GATAACCAGGCTCCAGAGGGCCAGCCAGGCGCTCTCCACACAGAGGAAGACTTGATCAAACCTACCCTCTCGTAAGCTGTTTGGCGGTCTCTCTTATCTGTCAGGGATACGTTCCAAGACCCCCAGCGGATGCCAGAAACCGAGGATAGTACCAAACCCTGCATATACCACGTTTCTTCTCCCGTGCATACATACACCTATGGTGCAATCTACTTTATAAAATCAGGCACGCTAGGCGATGAACAACAATAACCGATAATACAAACAATGACAACGACCTGTGATCAAAGCTACGCGAACGTGGTCTCTTTCTCTCAAAATACCTTACTGTACTGAGCTCACCCTTGCTCTTGTGATGATGTGAGATGATAAAATGCCTACGTGATGAGACGGAGTAGGGCGCGTGACGTAGGCATGGTGACACAGCCGTTAGGCTGCTGTTGACCTTCCGACTATGTTCAGGAGGACCATCTGCTTCCAAACCACGGGTGACCGCGGGGTAACCCCAACCCAGGAAAGTGGCACCGCGGATAAGCTCCAAAGTGAACGTGGTCTTGTTTCCGCCCAAAGGAAAGACTTTGCCGGGTTACTGACAACACAGCTATTGCCAGTGCTGCCCCCCCAAGACAATGGGGACAAGGGCTTTTGAAGAATTGTCGGATCCTAAATAAGAATTAGAAGGAAGCTGAACTCTGGTCTCCATGAGGCAAGAAGTCACCAGGAGACACCTGCAGCGTAGAAGTCCTGGAGTAAGACAGTGTCGCAGAGAGAAGAGCCAAAAGAACACAAAAAAGGAAGGTTTCTTTTTCCCTCTCTCCCCCAGATACACATTCTCAGCTGATACAGCATGGCATCTGGAAATCCGAACTCACTACTGTGAACTGTGCGAGGAGAGACTATCTAAGAGTAAGTGATCTGGGGCACCCGAGTGGCTCAGTCGGCTGAATGTCCAACTTCGGCTCAGATCACGATCTCGCCGTTCACGGGTTCGAGCCCCACGTCGGGGGGCTCACCCTCTCATCTCTCTCTCAAAAATACAGACACGTTAAAAAAACAATTTAAAAAAAATAAAACACACACACAAAATTAAATAAATAAAAAATAAAAGAGTAAGTGATTCGAGTGATAGAATTTATTTGGAAAGAAAGTCCTTAATTACCTAGCAAAAAGTCTAGTAGCAAAAGTGGTAGTGCTGGGAAGTGGTGGACAGTCTACTTAAAGGGACATGTAAGGCTCAGTGAGTAACAGGACATAAGTTGTTTTATGCATATGACACCTAGAGTCCCCAGGAAGGTCCTCTTTCCCCTCGGTCTTCCTGTCGAGATGTGGGCTTCTCCCACATCGTATGCTCTCTTTGGTTTCTTTCTTTCTTTTTAAAAAAAAATTTTTTTTAATGTTTAGTTTTGAAAAAGAGAGAGAGACAGAGCATGAGCAGGGGAGGGGCGGAGAGAGAGATAGAGACGCAGAATCCGAAGCAGGCTCCAGGCTCTGAGCTGTCAGCACAGAGCCCCACGTGGGGCTCAAACCAACCAGCTGTGAGATCATGACCTGAGCCGAAATGGGACGCTTCACTGAGCCACCCAGATGCCCCTGTCTGCTTTCTTGAAATGGCATTTATTCTACTCTTGCTCCCCGAACATAAGGTGGACAGAGTGCAAACAGAGAAGCTGGCTTCTCAGTAAAGGAAGGTCCAAAAATGTGATCCCTGTTATACTTGTTAACCAAGTAAATTTTTTTTTTAAGTTTATTTATTTATTCTGAGAGACAGAGAGAGAACGAGCAGGGGAGGGGCAGAGAGAGAGGAAGAATCCCAAGCAGGCTCCGTGCTGTCCATGCAGAGCCCAATGTGGGGCCTGTACTCACGAAACTGATCCGAAATCAAGAATCTGGACACTTAACTGACTGAGCCACCCAGGGGCTCCTAACCAATTAATTTCTATGTCAAATCCTTTTGTGTTAGTCTTGACTCCCCTAGAAGGAGAGGCTCAAATGGGACTGAGAAGGATTTTGTTAGGGGAAAGGTCTGTGTGAGAAAAAAAATGAGAGAGTCAAGGCAAGGTTAGGAGGACCATCATGAGACTCTCAGTGAGGAGAGGAGGAAGGTTTTGTGGGAGCATCCTAGAGCACTGTGCAGTCTACAGAAGGTTTTGGGGGGGTCCCTTGGTGTGTGATTACTGCTGGAAGGTTTGGGGGGGTCCCTTGGTGTATTATCACTGCTGTGCTCCCATGGGCTGGGAGTAGAAGACCTGGGGATGTCAAAGCCAGTACTGAGGTCCGTGATTGATTACGCGCCCTGTGGTAAGAGGTCCTCAAGGCACATTGCCATGGTTGCTCCTCCTCTCTGTATAGTTACAGTGGCTCCAATTTCAACTTTAATGCATGAAAGTCTGGAGTAGAGCTTCCTGCACCGCTTTTGGGTATGGGAGGTAACCAAAGAGGTAAAGTTTGCATGCTAAAATATTCCAGTCGCTGAGATATTCCTGTGGTTTGTGGAGACCATGTGGTAAATATTTAAAAATCAAAGCGGAGCCTCTCAAGGGTAGTCCTCTTCTAGCAGAAACGCTCGGAACACTTGTTAAAATTTCTTTATTTTGGGGGCGCCTGGGTGGCTCAGTCAGTTAAGCGTCCAGCTTCAGCTCAGGTAATGACCTCGGGGTTCATGAGTTCGAGCTCTACGTCAGACTCTCTGCTGTTGGCACAGAGCCTGCTTGGGATCCTCTGTCTCCCTCTCTCTCTGCCCATCCCCTGCCTGCTCTCTCAAAAATAAACACTAAAAAAAATTTTTTTTAAGTTTGTTTGTTTATTTATTTTTTATTTATTTATTTATTTATTTATTTATTTATTTATTTATTTTGACTGAGAGACAGAACAGTGGGGGCAGAGCAAAGAGTGAGGGAGAGAGAGAATCCTAAACAGGCACTGCCCTGTCAGCACGGAGCCTGATGCAGGGCTCAAACTCATGAACCAGGAGGTTATGACCTGAGCTGAAACCAAGAGTCTGACTCTCAAGCTAAAAATTGAAAAACTTTTTTTTCCCCTTTACTTCTGCCCAGACCTGTTGAATTAAAACCTTGGGTGTGGAGAACCAGAGGTCTAATAGATGACATATTTATCAATACTGCCAAGGTACAAGGCAGGTTATTTACACCAAACTCCAATTTTTAAATCTTTCTTTTAATGTTTATTTATTTTTGAGGGAGAGAGAGAGAGAGTCGGGAAGGGGCTGGGGGGGGTGAAGGGGGGGGGCAAAGGATCCAACTTTCTAACTCTGAGATCATGACCCAAGCCAAAGTTGATCCCTTACCCAACGGAGCCACCCAGGCGCCCCAACACCAAACCCAAATTAAATGCTCCCCAAGTAAGTGGAATCTGACTATATTTCGATATCACAATCCCCTTACATTTTTATTGTCACTAGTCGCTTACATACACCCTTCTTTCTGCTTCAGATTCCTTCCACTTTCCAAGCTCTCCTTTCAGACACTTAAAAAATAATAATAGGACATTCTCAGAAAATTGCGCCTCAAAGATAGCAGTAAGGTTACTCAGTTGTTTCCCCCTTGTTAATTTGAGGAGCTCAAATTACGCAGTTGTGGTGCAAACATTTGCATGTTCAGTTCACATGCCCCAGCTACTAGCGGACTGCAAGATACAAATCAACCATAATAGTTCAAGTAACCTGTGTCTGGTTTGTCCTCACTCAAATTTCAGGGCTGACGAGGTTTGAGATAAAGAATAGACAATTAATTCACTTGGCAAATGCAGGGGGAGGTTGGCGGGGTCAAGATAGGCCAGTTGGGGTCACCACGCCAACTCCGGCCACTATCCACGCCAACTCCGGCCACTATCCCCGCCAGACTGTTCACATTTTATCCTTCCACGCCCCCCCTGGATTTCATAACCTCCACGTGGCCCCTTTCCTAGAAGGGACTGACCCCCCGCCCCCCAATCCCCATCCTTAAATCTTAGCTGGGCAGGAAGGCTAGAAGCCTAGTTGGTCCTCTGCCTGTCGCGTGGTAACCTTGAATTTAAAGAAACCACCACCGTCCGGAGGGCCCTGAAATTTGAACCACACGCGCCGCGATATGCAGATTAGGAAGTCGGAACCACCTGCCCATTGGCCGGTTGCCGGTGTGACGTCACAAAGGCCCAGCCCCAACGGGGCCACAAGGGGCAAGTTTCTCGGACAAGTCGAAAAGCTTTTATTATTTGCATTTCCTACATCTGGGGGAGGAAGAGTGTTCACGGACAGTCAGAGCCGAAGGGCTCAGGACCCAAGAGCATTTTGTTCTCTGTGTGGCGGCTCTGTCCCTTTACTTAGGGTGTTTGGGACAAAAATGACACGGAGGTGGGGGTGAGGGTGGGGGAAGCTGTGAAGTCCAAATGAGCTATAGGGACCTGATGAACCTCTTCAGTTTAGTGGTTTCCAGGCCGCTCCAGGCCGGTCCAAGCTCTGTGAGTCAGCTGGTGGAAGTCTTTGGCTGTATCTGGACCCCAAACCTAAAGATACTGCAGGCATAGGAGATTGGGGGCCTCCCGCCTTTTCCCTCTCTCTCTTTGCCAGGCTCAAGGCAAAGAATCAAGTCCCCAGACTTGTGAGCTTCTGACAGTCGCCCCCTCAACGTGAGCCTCCCGATTGCAATACCTCTGAAGAGTTGAAGTCTGTTGAACAGAGAGAGAAAGCTTATCTAGAGATAACAGAAGAACTTCAAGCCTCACCCTGAACGCTTGTCTTTCCCAAACGATCGCCCTTGAAATGTCTGTTAGCAACTATGACACTGCCTGTTTGGTCTCCTAAAGTCACTGAGAATTTTTGCAACATCTCACAGCAGGGGATCCCTGGTCCCCACATTGGCACAGGCAAAGAGTCACACAGAAGAAACATGGGGGGGGGGTGGGGAGTGGCGGGGGGATTCTCAGCCTTGTTGGTTTGCATTGCCTAGATACCGTTTCACTTCCTGGAATACCAACCCTGCTTTTACTTTGGAGAATCATCCTACCTTCATGGTCGGTCTTTGGATGGAGGGGGAACTTCTGCCCGCAGCTTTAGAGGTGAGTACGTGTCCCAGGCCTGGCCGATGGAAGTGTGTTCCATTCTCCTGGGTACACAGTGACTGGATCAAGTACAGGGCAAGTCACAGTGTGATGGTCAATCCTGGGACTTCGATGGGAACGCTTTGAGAAGAGGCGCTCTCTTTTCTCATTGGGATCACGACGCTGATGGTGGCCGTCTTTGCCCCTAGAAAGAAAGAGGCTATTCAACAATGAAGTCAAGTCCCCCTTTCCCCTCCACCCCTCTGCTGAAACCAAAAGAGTTAAAAGAGAGAGACAGATTTCTGGCAATGTTGTTTGAGCATCTGGATCCAGCCATGCTTGAAACTAGCTACCTGTACATTTTTTTAAAGTTTATTCATTTGTTTTGAGACAAAGAGAGAGTGTGTGTGCAAATGGGAGAGGGGGTGTAGAGAGAAAATCTAGAGCTGGATCCAGGCAGACAGCACAGAGCCCCATGTGGGGCTCAATCCCATGAACCCTGAGATCATGAGCTGAGCCCTGAGATCATGAGCTGAGCCAAAATCGAGTCGGACGCTTAACTGGCTGAGCCCCCCAGGCGCCCCAGCTATCTGTACATTTTCGTCAATAGTGCCAATACATTTTCCTTTTTACGTAAGTCAGATTGAGTTGAGTTTCTGTTAACTCAGTAAGAGTCCTTGCCTGTACCTCCAACCACTGGGCAAACCTTCATCTCAAGGATGGGTTTAAGGCTACGCTAGTCCCTTCTCTGGGTGGTTTCTTACTGGTTCTTCTGCTCGGTAGACGGGGGAGAGAGAGGGTTGGCGTGATTGGCGTGATGGCATATGGGTGACAGGGCAGGCTGGTTATTCTGGTGTGGTGCACGGCACAGAGATCAAATAGGGGGGATTCGGGTCACATGAAGCTAGGCAACTAATATCATCTCTCTGACCCTCACTGCTCTCATTTGTAACATGGGGACAATGAAAATCCCTCCCTCTTACCACTGCGTGGAGGCTTTATGCACAGCGTCTGGTGCACAGTAAATGGTCAGCAAGTAATGGCCATAAGCTTATTCTAGACAACCCACCGTAGAAGAGACGGGCCCTCTTTTCCTGACGTCCGGTGCAAGGTGGTCACTGCGGAGAGGGGAGGGCTCTGAAAGCCTGCTCTGCAGTTGTGGCCAGCAACTCGGAGCCACGGTCTACACTGCCAGCCACAAGCACCTGCCGAGCGAGCAGCATGCACCTGCCACCTGCCACTCCAAGAAAGGCTTCCAATCCAGCCAGAGCAGGTGGCCTCCATTCGAGGCCAGATCCTGGCTGTGTGCAGAGCCTGTGAGCCTGCCCACCTGTTCTGAAACTCCAGACAGACTCTGATCTTTGCCCGGCCCACCTCCTACCCCCAGCTTCCTTCCTTGACCCGACACCTTCCATGTTCTAGGCACCGTGCTAGAAACCGCCGGGAATGCAGGAGGAGAAGCCTGCCTTAGTGGAATTCCTACCACCTGCCACCCGGTGCCGGCATCGTCATAGCACAGGCTCATCTCTCAGCTCACAAATCCTGACACTTACGTTAAACACACCATTTTACGACGGAGGGGTGAACCGAGCAGCACCCACTATATGTGACAGAATCAAGATCCAAATCCTGGTGTTTCTTCGAAGCCCGTGTTCTTCCCTTCAGCATGCTGCCTACGGCAACAGAGATGATCTGGTGAAATGACGTTATATTAAAACACGTAGTGCACAATCGTACTCATGGGCCTCTATCCCAGGGAAATAACCCACGTTCATACAAAAACCTGAACATGAATATTTATAGTGGCTTTTGGGGGGGGGATTACCAAAAACTAGAAACAACCTAAATGCCCCTCAATCGGAGGATGAGTAAAAGCAAAAAAAACCCAAAAAACAAAAAAACAAAAACAAAACCCACAAAACAACAAGAGCCAAAAAAAAAAAAAAAAAAAAAAAAAAAAAACCCAACTGTGGTACCTCCATGTCATGAAACGTTACACAGCCACAGAAAAGAATGCACTTTGATACATAAAACAACTCAGATGCATCTCAAGGGCATTAGGCTAAGTGAATGAAAAAGGGCCACTCTCAAGAGTTTGAATGCTGTGTGATTTCATTTATGTAACATTTTCAAAATAACAAACGGAGAATAGATCAGTGGCTGTCAGGGGCTGGAAGGAGGGGTGTTGTGGTTGGGCAGCATGAGGGAGAGTCATTTGGCAATGGACCAGTTCTGGGTCCTGACTGCAATGGTGATTCCACAAATCTACATGCACACAAGTGAGTAAACCCAAGCAGGGAAAATACGAACAACCAGTCAAGTGTATCAATGTCAGTTCCTGGTTTGGATATTGTGCTATAAGTCGTGCAACATGTTTCCACTGGGGAAAACTGGGTGAAGGGTATACCAGATCGCCCTATCTTTTTTTTTTTTTAACTTCCTGAGAATCTATAAGTATTAAACAGTTTTGGAATTTAAAAAAAAAACCAGATATATTAACATTGACTGGAATACAGAAGGGAGAAAACAGAGATGTGTGATAGAAATATACTGTGAGTCACATATGTAACTAAAAGTTTTCTTTTTTTTAAGTTTTTCTTTCTTTCTTTTTTTTAAATTACATTTATTTATTTTTGAGAGACAGAGTGAGACAGAGTGTGAGCAGGGGAGGGGCAGAGAGAGGAGACACAGAATCCGAAGCAGGTTCCAGGCTCTGAGCAAGCATTCAGCACAGAGCCCGACAGGGGGCTCGAACCCATGAACCTGTGAGATCATGCCCTGAGCCGAAGTCGGACACTTAACCGACTGAGCCACCCAGGCGCCCCTTTATTTATTTCTTTTGAGAGAGACAGAGACAGCATGAGAAGGGGAGGGGCAGAGAGAGAGAGGGAGAGAGAGAATCCTAAGGAGGCTCAGTGCTGCCCACACAGAGCCTGACGCAGGGCTCAAACCCAAGAAACCAGGAGATCATCACCTGAGCTGAAACCAAGAGTCGGATGCTTAATCAACTGAGCCACCCAGGCGCCCGTAACTAAATATTTTCTAATGGCCATGTTAAAAGGGTAAAAAGCGACACATGAAATGAAGTCTAGTAAGATGTTTTATTTAACCCAATATACCCCAAATATTATCATTTCAACATGCAATCAATATGAAATTAATGAGACAGTGTACGTTTTTTTTTTTTTTTTTTTTTTTTGGAACTACATCTTTGGAAATCTGTGTAAGTTAGCACATCTTAATTCAGATGCTAAATTTTCATTGAAAATACTTGATCCGTATTTAGATTTCATGAAATTTACAGTTGAAAAATTAGATTCACATACCCAAGTCGTTCCAAACATACTTAAAGTTTTCCAGTAACTGAATGCAGTATTAAGTTTTTAAAATTTTAATCTAAATGAAAAATCCAGCCCCATTTCAGTGCTCGGTGGCCACACGTGGCTGTTGTGTGGAGCAACGTAGGTAGAAAAGGATGTGTGCCAGACAGACGATTCTCTGTGAGACTTCAGGGAAAGTGGTGGCATTTGAGTTAAGCTTCAAAGGATCGGTATGATTTTATTTTATTTATTTAAAAAAAATTTTTTTTAACGTTTATTTATTTTTGAGACAGAGAGAGACAGAGCATGAACGGGGGAGGGTCAGAGAGAGGGAGACACAGAATCTGAAACAGGCTCCAGGCTCTGAGCTGTCAGCACAGAGCCCGACGCGGGGCTGGAACTCACAAAGCACGAGATCACGACCTGAGCCGAAGTCGGCCGCTTAACCGACTGAGCCACCCAGGCGCCCCATGGATCGGTATGATTTTAATAGAGAGGGAATATTGCAAGTACACAAAAAACATCATGGATAAAAAGAGGCAGATTCTGTGGTTGCCCACTCAACGTCGATACCTCCTTTACCTTAGCAACAAAACTTTGACTTTTATTAGAAGTGGCGAGAGACCAACTAAAAATACTACACTTTCCAGCTTCCTTTGTGGATACTGTTAAAGCTCCTTTAAAAATGGGGCTCCCTCTTCCTCCTTCTGCATGCCTGGAATCACAACATGATGGCTGGGGTTGCAGCAGCAATTTTGCGACCTTGATAATGGAAACCATTCATAAAGGATAACAGAGAAACGAACAAAATGAAGATGGGCCACACTATGCCAGCCCTGGACTTCTTTTTAAGTGAGAAGAAAACAAACCCCCACTTTGTTTAAACCGCTATTGTTTCCGTTCTCTATTACTAGCAGCCGAGCACAATTCCTAACCAATTCAAGGTGTGGACACATCAAGAGGAAAGGGAATAGTTTGGTGTGATTAGTGCTTGATCACGCCACCCTGGGAAAATTATTTATGGACTACCGCTCAAGGGGCTTAAACAGCATAATTTATGTAATCATCGCCGCAGTAACATTTTGCAGATGAGGAAACTGACACACAGAGAGGTTAAGCAACGTGGTCAAGGTCGCAGAGCTAACGGGGAGTGGATCTGGGCTTCAGGTCCATCCGGGCAGTGTCACCAGAGGGCTGCTGGTCTTGAACGGAATTAAAGGAGTTAGGGCCGAATACCATGCAGGAATTTGGACCGCGTTCAGACCCACGAAGCTTGGCCGAGATAGTCAGACCTTTGCCTGCTTTGGCACCCGGGGCCCTCAGCGACCTCAGCTCTCAGGTTCGCCACGGCATGTGTTGGGTTCGCCATGCTGTGTTCTTCCTCTTGGCCGCTTCCAGGCTCTGGCCCATGCCTCTGGGGCTTTTCTGGCTCCTTCCTAGGGTACTGACCGGCCTCCTGGAGGTGACCTCTTGGCTACACATCATATTCTTTTCACCCTGGTGCTGGGGCCAGCCCTCTGGTCAACTCCCGAGCTTGTCCGAACGAGCAGGAAGCTCCCTCGTGTACATCCCACACGCAGCGACCTCCCCAGGAGGGCTCCTTCCGGGTTTAATAGATGGAAGGCAGCCTCGCTGAGGCTGCTGTTCAGGTGGGAAGCATTGGCGTGCTGCGCGCTCATAGCTGGCATCCGTTCTGACCT